AAAAAAAATTGATTTAAAAAAAAAATCAATCTCAAGAATGTTCATTACTGGCAATTTAATAAAAATTTTCAAAATACTGTTGGGGGCAGACAAAACCCTGCTATCAGCCAAGGGCACCAGGCTTGCTGCTGGAAAACCCCTAGGGGCTCAAGGACCTTGTCCCATAAACAAAGAATGGCTGGGATCAGAGCCTGAGTGGGGAGAGGGTTTCAGGGGGAGAGTGCCTGAAGGGGGAGAGAGACCATGGAAGGAAGGCTTCTTGGAAGAAGAGATCCTTCAGCTGGATTCAATGGGATAAATAGGAATGTTCTGTGTGAGTGAAGGTGGGGGGCAAAATCATTTGGAGCAGAGGAAGAATAGCCTTGAACTTTGGGGAAGGCAGGTGCTTCCACAGGCTGGAGTGCATTTGGGTACAAAGAGTTTGGAGGGAAGGGCTGTGGGCAACAGGGCTGGAGATGGGGGCTTATCCCTGTCTCCAGATCACAGAGAGCCATGTGTGCCCAGCAGACATGACTAGACAGTACTTTCCAGCTCTGGGTGTCAACTGCCAAGACCAGCAACATGGGGCAACAGAAAGGGTGGGCATGTACTGAAGTGGAAGCAAGAAGCCTGTCCTTAGACCCATCTCCACCATTTACAGGACTGGATTCATTCACTTAGGCTGCAGATCACAGCAAGCAATTGTACTGGGGCTTCGGAGAGAAGTGGCTCAGGAGCTGTTCTTGCTTCTAGAGAGCTCACAGTCTGGTGGCCCTCACCAAAGAAGCTAGAGGACTGCTCTGTGATGTTTTACTTAGAAGAGGGCTCTGCTAAATTGCTGGCGTGGGGGTGTGTGGGGGGGTGGGGGCAGAATAGTGACAGGATTATAGAGGAGGGGACTTTTAAACCGTCTTAATAGATGAGTAGGAGTTTACCAGGGGTATAAAGTGGAAACGGCAGGAGGAAAGTGCACATGAAAGGCAAGCAAGCATGTTTTGGGACCCTGCTTTGGGAAAATGGAGCTCATTCAATCACTTGGCAAGTACTTACTGAGTATCTGCATGCCAGAAGCCGTGCTAGGCACTGGAGGGACATGACAGAGCAGATGCCTTGCACCCTCACAGAGCTTATGCTATTTCATTTCTCTGTACCTCAGTCTCCCCATCTCTGAAATGCCTTGCCACACGAGCCTCAGCAAGGTGTAACTAGGATTACATAGGTTTACATGGCTAACATATGTGAAGGTGACCAGTGTTACACCTGGCATATAGGAAATGCTCATTTAAATGTGTCCTTCCCTCCTCACGATCTGGCCTTGAGTTTACTCACTATACAAGCAGGTTTGTTCAATTAATGAATACATGAATGACCAAATGCTACTTGCACTGTGCTCTTTACACAGTTACTATTTTCAACATTCCTGTCAAGAAGATATTATTTATCTCAATTTTACAGCCGAGCAAGCAGAAGCCTTCAAGATGGTGAGCAACTAGTCTAATATATCCAGGTAGTAAATGACAGAGACAGATCCAGATTCTACCTCCTGCAGGCCCGACCTCAGAGTCCAACCACTTAA